CTGTTGGGCATTTCGGAGCAGCATGCGCATAGTCCCTGGAGTCTCCCTCTCTTTAGGCTTCGAGTTCTGACGAGTTCCCTGCGGTGCGACTTGTTTCAGCTGGGCGGGTGGCAAAAAGTTCAGTATACCTATTGGCTCATACCCTACCCCTTTTTTAAGGTACCTACTTTTCTATATAGGAGATCCTAACCATAGAATTAGGTACCCTAAAAAAGGGGTAGGGTATGACCCTCTAGGTAGTCCAATATACAGGGTTCGAGAAGTGAGGGCCTTACGGCTGCGCCTTCCAAACTTTTGTCGGAGCTTACGCTCGCAAAATGAAAGCTCATTCCAGAACATAAAGTAAAAGCCAGAAAGTTGGAATATGATTATCCTAAACCCTTTAAGGTAAATTATATGGTATCCTACCCTGAAACCATATTCCAACTTTCTGGAGTTCCCTTTAGAGTCAGGAGTTACCCAAAGGCCCCAAAGTAGCTCCTTTTTGGGGGGTCATATATAGAATCCTATAAGGTAATCCCAAAAAGCATTTACTTTGGGGCCTCTGGGCAATGTGCTCAACCATAGATCCGTGATCCGGCGCTGCATGCTCTCGCGCGTATGAAGTGAGACCCGCAGTTCTTCCGTCAGGGTTCAGGGGGTTGTGGATTATAGCCATGTGCCAGACCTAAACGTGCTGTCCATGAAAACCTAGGAAAAGGAGAAACCTAACACTGAACCCTGAACCGTATCATTCAGTTCAACCCCCGCCAATATACACTCCAAGACGCTTGAACCCTGCACCTTTGCGATATACGGACCTTAAACGGGCCTGCACCCAAAGAGGTACGGGATTTTTGAGATAAGCACTTGATGAGGACCTTAGGGTCTGAAAGGGGACCCCTCACTTTAAGACCAAATCCCGTGTCCCCAAGGCAGTGAAGCGGGGAAGGTCGACAAGGAAGTCGGAAAGCTCTTAGAGGACATTTTTAGGGTTAAAGGTTTCGGGTTAAGAGTTGTCAGGAGTCCGCTTTCGGCACACACAACAAGCTGTTTGGGGTTTTAGGTTATGGGGTTTGGGCCAAGTGCACCGCCATCCCCTGCACCTGCAGCTACACGACAATGCTTCGTCCTTGGCCATGGAATCCTTTTGTTGCGGCTCGCTTGTCCACTGTCTTGTCAGCAGGCAGCTGTAGCCATCCATATTGCCCAAGCAAGCAAACAGGTACGCAACCAAGCAATCTAAGCAAGCAGAAAAGCCAGCGAGCAGGAGTCGCACTGTTGCTGCTTCTGGTGATGCTGCTGCTTCTACTGCTACAGCTACGGCACTGCTGCTGCCCTGTCGCCACCATTGCCATCACAACCACAACCACCGCCGCGGCGGTGACCGCCACAACCACCACCGTGAACACCACCACCGCCAAAGCCACCACCACCGCAACTACCACGACTGCAGAAAAATTCCACGGATGCCCGGAAGATTTTTGGAAGTACTGGCAGCAGCCATCACATATTTCATGGAGCCAGATGGGAGTTTCCGAAAACAAGGGGTACCTTATTCTGGGGTCCTTATAATAAGGATCCTATCTAGGGCACTAGATCAGGGTCCCCTATCTTCGGAAACTCCCAGAACCTGAAACCTGGACCCCGTAGCTCAGACCGTTAACCGCCATTCACCGAATGAGGGGTTTGCTCGCAACTGCTTCGGAGTTCCGCAATCCGGAGACCCAAACCCCTCAAATACTAAACCCTGCCCATAGTCTCCATTGTAGTTCCTTTTTTTGGCTTAATCAAATATCTCATTAGGATCCTATAAGGTAACCCCAACAAGGAACTACCATGGAGACTACAGGTAAGCCCCAAAATGGGTCGTAGACTAGATTCGGGGTTGCGGGTGCAGGGTTTGGGTTTGGACCCTCTGGGTATCTCAGGACTTCGGCTTGCTGCAGGAGGACGGCAGCACGATTGCGACGGGAGGTCAAAGTAAGGCGATGACAGAAGGGCTGTGTTTTTTCCAAGGCTGAGGACTGAAGTTTTTTGGGTACTGTTTTAGACTGCTCCAGTGTTTCAGCTGTGCTGAATCTGCTCGTGTTGGAAGCTTTCTGAGCCGCTTGATAAGAGATCGTGTCTCACCCGGCCTCGTGAATGCACACCCTAAACCCTAAGCCCCTAAACCCTAAGCCCTAAACCCAGCCTGTGGTATTCATGGTCGGAGTGGAGGTTGACGAAGTGTGAAGTGTAGTGCTGGCAGGTAGGAGAGAGTGCTTGTGATACTGTTAGTGTTAATGCTGTGCCTGGCTAATGGGCTGGGATTGGTCAATGAGCCTTCGCTGGTACTGGAATCCTCGCTGTGGTTCGTCCGAGAGTGAGTGCTGAACCCCTAGACCCTAAGCCCTAAACCCTAAACCCTACTTCGACGGGCAGGGGACTTAGTAAGTAGGTTATAAGTAGAGTTATAAGTACCCTAAATGGAGTTACCTTAATTATAACCCTACTTATAATCTACTTACTAAGTCCCCTGCCCTTCCAAGTAAGTTTGTCTTGCGCTGTCTCTGTTGGGTTCTCGACCTGAAGACCGGGGTAGTTGTTAGTCGCTGAGGGGGTGTGCAGATCCAAGGGTAAAAGGAGGGACCCTTAATAAGGACCCCTAGGTATATAATTACCCTTAATATAGCTGTTATATACAAATTATATATAGTGTATGTACCCTTAATATAGCTATTATGTATACCCATAATATAGCCCATTATAGGACCCCTTAAGGGTCCCTCCTTTTCCCTTTTGAGCAGAGGATCCCCGCGTAGTGCACATGACTGTGAGAATTCTCACGACATCCGGTTGCCTTGGTGTTCTTCCTTAATTACCTACTATTTGCTTAAGAACCCCCAAGAAAATATAGTCCTTATGGGGGTAATATAGGGAATATTATTTTTTTTGGTGGTTTCTTAAGCAAATAGTAGATTACCTATAGTCTCCATTGTAGTTCCTTTTTCTGGTTGACCAGTCTTATGGTTAGGAACCTATAATAGAGATTTTGGATAACCAAAAAACGGAACTACAATGGAGACTATAGGTACTTTGTCATAGTTAAGTAACATTTTACATTTTGATGGGTACTTAAGCCCAATAGGGAACATCAGTTTATATTTTTAATCCTATCCCAGCCATGAACTAGATTAGGTTTCTATGAGGGTACTATAAGGGTTCCTTTAAAGGCTCTATAAGGGTTTAGAGTTTCCGAAAATTATTGGTACCTTCTCTTGGGGTCCTCAAAATAAGGATCCTATATACTATTTAGGGTACTATATTAGTGTCCCCTATTTCCGGAAACTCCCAAAAACGAATTCTGGCTTGGTCGGATGAGGACATTGACAGGGCATGACAGGGCTAACAGGATGTGTTTCACGACGGTTGTGTACCCAGATACCTCGCCTGGCTGTCCGAGTTGTCAGAGCATAGTTTTCAGTCCAGACCCTAAGCTTTTTGGTGGCTTGGCCGGCTTGCACTCGTGCTGACAAAGCACAGATGGCCTTCGTGAGCAATCATCAGGTGCAGTTCCAGTCTCAGGCATAGGATCTGATATACTTTCCGTGTTCTTTGTTGCTTCTCATGGTCTAAACTTGGAGGTGCCCCTGCACCCGACGCGCAAACAAAGGCTGAAACCCACGAACCTGAGCCCCTGGAAGCCAGTGGAAGTTTAGGGTTTGTAGAAATGGTCTAGGGTTTACGTACTGGCAGGCTGATATTCTTGTCGACGTCACGAAGATCTGCACTGCTGCCCTCGAACGGAAGGCTACAGCCATGGTCGATGTTTCAGGGGTTGATACTGGGGACGCGAGAGGCTGGGGTCCGGGAGGAGTCCGGATACGGTTTCGGCCGGACAGCATTCACACGCATCAATAGCTAGTTTCCCATGTATGTGTGTGTGTGTGTGTGTGTGTGTCTGGGTATACATACATACATACATACATACACACATATACATAGATATGCATTTGTTTAAACATGTATATGTATCTGATCTGTATGTGCATGCGTATGTGTATGTGTATGTGTACGTGTGTGTGTGTAGGTGTTGGAGTAGGCGTAGGTGTAGATGTGTATGTATGTATGTATGTATGTATACATATATATATATGTACACTGATACACACGAATACAAAACTGTCTGCACATGTCTGTCCGTCCGTGGGTCCGTCTGTCTGTCTGCCTCTGTACTGTAGTATGTATGTAGGTATGTATGTCTGTATGTTCGTCTGTCTGTCTATATGTCTATGTGTGTGTGTTCATGTGTGTATGTGTGTATGTATGTAAGTATGTATGTATTCATGTATGTCTGTATAAATGTGTGAATATCTATAAACATGTACATATGTATATATATATATATATACACATACATACATACATACATACATATATGTATGTATGTATATAGCCTTACATGTATGTTCATTTATGTGTTGCGGGCAAGGTTTGTTTGCAGCTACTCAAAAAGCCGTTACTTAAATCAAGTGTTGTTTTGACTCGTTTGTTGCACATGTTTGTATATATTATTAGATGATCATAAGTACAACTATTGTTAAGGCATATCACGACGATTCCGCGAGGCTCCTGAGAAGGGGAGGCTTTGCAGAAACAAGTCCTGTCGGGCTCTACGGCTTCACATTTTACTGCGAATCCTAAATTACGGCTTCAGGCTTATGTAGGGGTTAGAGTTTTGCTGCCAGCCAACGGTACTTGAGCCAGCTCATGGACAATCCAAGGTTTAGGCATCTCCGCACAGCTGCAGTGAACGCAAAACATCCGGGTTCAAGCCACTTGCAAATTCACGCCTGACTTCAAAGAGGTCCTTGTCTTGGATAGCTCTTGGCTTCACTTTCAAGAAGAGCGCTTCCGAATTCTGCGGCAGGTGTTTGAGTTTAATTAGGGTTGATGGATCCGGTTTAAGACGGTTTGCGTTTTCTGTACACCTTGCAGAGTTCGGCGGCGCGCCACTTTCTCGGAGTCGTCTCGGCGCCATGGAGGAGATAGACAGGCTGCTTTCCACCATCGAGCTTGACGAGTACACCATCAAGGAAACCGAAGTGACATCTGAGTCTGGAGGATTTGTCTAGTCCTTGCGATCTGGGGTGAGTGCCACTAAGTCACTAACGTAACGCTTCAGCCCAAGCTTAATCTCCGAGCATGATGCCGAAAAGGAAGTCCAAAATGGTTGGGAGACGACCGAGAAACGGTTGGGCGGGCCAAAGGCGGCCGGTGAGGAGGTGTTCACGAAGCTGAGGCGTCTCGGCACAGCAAGAATCAAAGCTTTCTCTTCGATGAAGATGGAAGCCATGACAGTAGTGGGCTTCCATCGTCGCGCTTGTCCCAGGAATGAACTTCCAAAGACGCAGGGGATGCTCACGCGATCTAGCACCGTTTGGCACCTCTTGTCGGAGTTGTTGCAATCCCTCGACGAGCCGAAGCTTGTTCAGAAGCGCCTGGAGTACATCGCCCTGCGCCACATGAATGCGGACATCACCACGGCCGACGTCGAGATCTTCCGCAACATCCTGTTTGAAGTTTGTGCGTCGAAGCTGGGTGGTTTGATGACTCCAGAGTTCCAGTTTGGCCTGGGTCAGATCGTCGTGGCCGTGGGCACTTCCTTGGCCAAGACCCATGCGCACTATGCACAGCGACTAAAGCTGCTGACAACCTGCTGGAAGGAAGTGAATGTGACCGAGGACGACACCCAAGAGCAACAGGGCCCCGTGTCTCGGCAAAACTCAGAGGAGCAAGACAAGCCGGCAGGGGAGGAGGAAGATACGACAAAGGACAAATCCGAGCAGCAGGCCAAGGAAGCTAGCACGACCGGGGATGGTGCAAAAGATGCGGAGAAGGGTGAACAGGAGCAGGGCGATGATAAGCATGGAGCGTGGCAGGACAACTCCAACCTGAACATTCCAAAGACCTTTGCCGCAATGGCGCGGTTCAATGCTGCTGTGATGGGCACGGGCGACCGCATGTGGTTCGCTGACATGCTCTATGCCATGGAGTCTCTCGTGCCCTACATCGGCAACATAGACCGGGTTCAGGAAGACTGCGACGTACTGATGTTGACGTTGGCCAAATACGGCCAAATCAATCTGAAGGAATTCCGTTCCGTGATGTTCGCAAGTCTTAGGTCCCTCCTGCCCACCAAATGGAGCAACGACCACGAGAATGCTTGGGCTTGGTTCTGGACCATTGTGGAGAAGAAGGTTGAAGAGAACAAGAAGCTCCCCGTGTACAACCACCAGTGCTTGAGGACGTTTCTGGCTCGCCTCGACGAAGAGACCCTTGCAGACTTTAAGCTGAAGGTGTTCGACTCCTTCTTCGCAAACTGCGAGGAGTCGCAGCGTTACTTGCGGGCGGCCAACAAGCGCTTGGTGTACATCATGGGGAGGATCTTGACCATCATGTCGGACATCTACACAAAGACCCACCAAGCCGTCATCGCCCTGTCCGCTTTGGGCCTTCTTCATGCCGGGCACGGGGTTCCGGAGGACTTGGTGCGCCCTTTTGTCGCAGCTTTCATGGGCTGTATGAAGGAGAACTGCCCAGATGAGTCTATACATGATGGGCTCTGGTGGACGTTGGATCTCATGGGCAGGATCCTCATCCGAACCCTGGCAGAAGGCTCCACTCCAGTGATCATCGCCATCAACAGGAACACATCAAAGGCCATGAAGGTGGCTGTAGCAAACTATCCTCGTGGACAGCGCGAGGTGGTCTTGCTGACGGTCCAGGTGGGCACCGAATCGATGTCTCCTTTGATATGGGCAGTGGAGAAGGGCGCCCTGGAGTCTGCGAGGGAGATCCTGAACGATTTGTTGACCATGCGTGCGGACCGTGCCCGGTACTATTACGGAATGGAGATGTTGTTCACCCGCCATTCTGACATCATCAGCCTGCTTTGCACCAAGGCGCCGTCTCTCTTGCCGACGGTCTTTGATGGACTCATCTGGCGTTCCAAGAATGTGAAGAATGGCATGCGGCGTGCGAACTACTATATCGCGTCCTTGCTCAGGGGCGAAGATGGCCAGCTGACAGACTCCCTCCTCGACCTGATCAAGCAAGGTGACCCCGAAATCATCTGTCATCCCACGGTGGTGTTTCAGGCGGATCTTCTTTGGACTCGGCTTTGTTGCTTGCCATGGGCTATGACGAAGCTGTGGTTCTGTGCCACCCTTGTGGTCTACGTCATGGCAGAGCAGCAAGCTGTGACTTCAAGCGATCCCTTGAGTCAGGAGCGCTTCACTACCATCATCTGCCGGGCCTTCTTGTACCTCGGCAGCCTTGGGCAGCTCTTCGCCAAGCATGCCTACCAGACATACAGGGCAGCACGCCAGAAGCAGATGACGCGCATCTGCTGCTTGCCGGTGCCCAAGTACGTGCTGCAAACGCGGCAGGAGTTGACCGAAGTTGCTCTCATGCTCCTCTTGATGTGTTTGTTGCTCGGCCCGTTATAACTCACCACACCGACTTCTTCTAGTTTACCAGAAATTTACCGCGGTGCGCGTTGCGGCTCAGCATGTGTGAGTTGCAAATGCACCGAGGTTGTGTTGCGAGCCAGTGCTTCACTGCCTTGCCGTCAGCAGCGAGCTGCTGACAAACTGCTGCGAGCACGGGGAATGGCAATGCAATCTGATCCAGGTGTATAACCGCCTCGCCACCTTTCCCATGGTCCTCTACTTCGTGCTTACCTCCGAGTTGGTGCACCTGAATGTCAGTCTCTCCGTCTTTAGCGTGATCTGTTCGTGTCTCATGTGGGAGTTCATGCTGTATGTGGCAGTCCTGGCATTCTTTGCTGCGGCTTTTGCATCGGCGATTGCTTGCTTGCCTCAAGCTCTGGCCGCTGATTCGGTTCACGAACGCGACTTCTCCAGCTGGCCTTTGGCTTTTGAGTCTTTGCTGTCCTCTGCCTTCAATGTCTATGACAGTGACAACTACGAGCAAATCGCGGTCGCAGATGAGCCGATGCTAAAGTGGTTTGTCATGGCCTTCGCCGCATGCTGGCACGTGTACCTCATGAACCTCATGGTGGCACAACTTTGCCAGCGCTACAACGACATCTACCACGACGCACGTGGCAATGCTCGCCTGACCCGTGGAACCAACATCTATGAGACCTCCATGCCGTTGATTTCCAAGAAACGCTGGACAGCCTTCGTGGAGTCCTTACACTTGGACGAGGCTTGCGAGCTCGATGAGGGCGACACCGGGCCCCGCGGTGCAGTTCCGACGACCGAGAGCCCGTACGACTACTTGCAGTATCCCAAGGTGACGCTGGATCGCGTTCAGCGGTACGGTGGCCTTGCGCATCCAAGGCTGCCGTGGCCATCTCTCGATGAGGCTGTGGACGACAGCGCCGTCGGCAAGTTAACGCGCATGACGCAGTCCAAGTTCGAGGACTTTCACCTTGCACAAGGTTTCAAACCCTGAAACCCTGTGCTTCGCAACCCCCTGCCTTAACCTTTGCGGCAGGAGATGGACAGGCTCATGGTGGACATGGCCATCAAACTCCAGGTTCGTCCTCCAGGGACCTCAGGTGGCACCAAGGACTACTCAGCCATGCACTCCGAGAAGCGCAGCTCGACGGAAGTTTCGCAGGTTTTTGAAGTTTAGGGGCTCGAGCACAGCTCCTGCAAGATACGAGCGATTGAGAGTGCAGATACGAGAAGCAGGGAGAGAACACAAGTGTGTCTTGCCATGGCGAATCCCTGGAGCGAGGCGATGATGAAAGCAAGATTGCCGAATCTGTTGATGATCACGAACATGACATCGGCACCATAAAGCAAACCGAAGTCTCAGAGGAGTTGGCCGTGAACGAGAAAACCGTGCATCTCGGTGAGAATAGTGGGTCGGCGAATAATGTTGAGGCCCTGGCAGCTGTTGACCTAGAGCTGAAGCTGTAAGCGTTTCTCCCAACTGCTTTAAGATTTCTGCGGAACAGAAAGCTCCAGTACCAGTGCCATAGATTAATTAAAGCATCGTCACCATCACCCAGCGCCACCATCTCCAACGCCACTATTGTGACAGTACTTGAGATCGGTCGGAAGAGTCGCCTAGTGGAGCATAATGGTATGGATGTGCTGCTCTATGCTTTAGGGGCCCCCACCCTGTCATAGTGGTATAATATAGGAATATAATAGGGCCCTAATACAATCCTTATAGTCACTATTACAGGGTGGGGGCAGCTTCTATTGTATGCTGCTATCGCCTCAGTCTCGTACTCCTTTCACCTTGGAAGACCTTTTCTTTGAGAGACTGTCTGTTTACTGGGAATTGGGACGGCTCAATTCAATCACGTGGCATGCTGCTGATACTACGTAGTGCCTTGACATACCTGACATACCTTGGCTATGCCCGACCATGTTTTGTGAGTTTCTACCGCAGTACATAGTAGTTACCGCTGTCATAGCAGTAGTAATTAGTAAAGGTGGTGTGGTATAGTGGTAGTGGTAGTGGTAGCGGTACTGTAGCGGTGTCGGTGGAGTGGTAGTGGTAGTGGTAGTGGTAGTGGTAGTGGTAGTGGTAGTGGTAGTGGTAGTGGTAGTGGTAGTGGCAGTGGCAGTGGCAGTGGCAGTGGCAGTGGCAGTGGCAGTGGTGGTGTAGTGGCACTGACAGTGGCACTGGCAGTGTTAGTGGTAGTGGGAGTGGGAAGGCTGGTGGTAGGTGTGCTAGCACCTAGTTGGTAGTAGGTAGTAGTAGTCGTCGTAGTCGTCGTAGTAGCAGTAGGAGTAGTAGTAGTAGTCGTCGTAGTAGTAGTCGTAGTAGATGTGGTAGTAGTACTAGCAGTAGTAGTAGTAGTAGTAGTAGTAGTAGTAGTAGTAGTAGTAGTAGTAGTAGTAGTAGTAGTGGTCGTAGTCGTAGTCGTAGTCGTAGTCGTGGTCGTAGTAGTAGTCGTCGTCGTAGTAGTAGTCGTAGTAGTAGTAGTAGTAGTCGTAGTAGTAGTCGTAGTAGTAGTAGTAGTAGTAGTAGTAGTAGTAGTAGTAGTAGTAGTAGTAGTAGTAGTAGTAGTAGTAGTAGTAGTAGTATAATAGTGGTACTACTAGTAGTCGTATAGTAGTACTAGTAGTGGTAGTGGTAGTCGTAGTAGCAGCCGAGGAAGTAGCAGTGGTGGTGGTGGTGGTGGTGGTGGTGGTGGTGGTGGTGGTAGTAGTAAACTGTTATTGTAGTAGTAGTCGTCGTATTAGTAGCAGTAGTAGTGGTAGTAGCACTTGAACAAGTACTAGTACTGCTGCTGCTTCTACTTCTACTACTACTACTACTGCTGCTACTGCCACTGCTACTGCTACTGCTACTGCTACTACTACTACTACTACTGCTACTACTACTACTACTACTACTACTACTACTCCTGCTGCTACTACTACTACTACTACTGCTAGTACTGCTAGTAGTAGTAGTAGTAGTAGTAGTAGTAGTAGTAGTAGTAGTAGTAGTAGTAGTAGTAGTAGTAGTAGTGGTAGTTGTAGAACACGGAGAAGTAGGTGGTGGTGGTGGCGGTGGCTGTGGCGGTGCGCGGTGCGTGGTGGTAGTGGTGGTGGTGGTGGTGGTGGCGGTGTGCAGTAGTTCTACTGGTAGTAGTCGTCGTCGTAGTGACGTAGTGGAAGTGGCAGTGGCAGCGGTAGTGGTAGTGGTAGTAGTAGTAGTGAAGTACTTAGTGGTAGTCGTCGTAGTAGTCGCAGTGGCAGTAGTGGTCATAGTACCACGACTACTGCTGCTCCTGCTACTGCTACTGCTACTGCTACTGCTACTGCTCCTGCTCCTGCTCCTGCTCCTGCTCCTGCTCCTGCTCCTGCTCCTGCTCCTGCTCCTGCTGCTACCGCTACTGCTACTGCTACTGCTACTGCTACCGCTACTGCTACTGCTACTGCTACTGCCACTGCCACTGCCACTGCCACTGCTGCTGCTGCTACTACTACTGCTATTACTCATACTAGTGATCTTATCGTTGTCGCCGCCCTCATAGACGTCTTCGTAGTCGTGGTAGTCGTCGGAGTAGTGGCAGTAGTAGTGATAGTAGCAGGAAGCAAAGGCTGTCGCATTGATCGGCAGTACCAGCGACAGTGTTTTGTGCTTTGTCGCAGCATCCACGGATCTCAGGAACGAGCTCATGAATGAGCACACCGATGAAGCCGAGACCTTGACAGCGAACCCCCTTTGACATCAACCCCAGCGACAATCGAAGTCCTTCTATCGTGCAGAATTAAACTCCTTGAGCTTTTTGTGTTTAATTCGGTGAGCCGAGGCGGGGCGGTGAATGGTGGGCCGGGAGTTTGGGCTGTTAGGTCGTAAGCAGTTATGGACGTAAGACGCAGTGGCATGTGACATCAAAAAGGCCCACTCTAACTCTAGCTGCTCAGAAACCGGCATCGAAAAGTTTTGGAACACTTTGTGGCGCAAGGCAGCCGCCAATGGGCACATTTTGGCACCCCCTGTGGTGCCTAGTGATATCTCGTAGCCAGACCTTCTGCTTGCTACAATGTAGGATCGGCTTGTTCTCGAACCCATCCGCGAACGATTGTGCGGCGCTGTCGGTATTTTCAACGCCACTGTTTGAAGAGTACTCGGCGAAAAACGCCTGCAATATTCTGTTTGCACGAACCCTGCTGAAGGTTCCAGGGAGCCTTTGCTGAAGCCCGATGGCTCGCTGTATAGACTCAGAGCCGATATTGGCAGAATATCCTAAAGGTCGTGCCTATAGTCTCCATTGTAGTTCCTTCTTTTGGTTTAACCAAATATTTAATTAGGATCCTATAAGGTAACTCCAAAAAGGAACTACAATGGAGACTATAGGTGTAGGTAACAGCTCGGAGCATGGGACTCACGCGGAGCTGTGGACAAACACGGACAGCCGCTTTGCCACGTACTGCGGGGCTTGGCATGCGCCCTTTCTGCAGGCATTCAGACTTTGGGACAGGACTCATCCTAAACTTGAAGCATGGATGCCCGAAGACCGCGTTCCAGGTCACAGAGCCGAGGGCCTTTACTGTTCGCTAGATTCGCCGTGTCGGTGCTTTGCAGAATCGTGGATTTCTGCCAGCACATACGTCCCAAACTCACATGACCTTGCAGGAAGAAGTGCTGAACATACCAGGTTGATGAAGGCTCTTTGTGGAAATCATTTCGGCTCAAAGCCACTTGCAAATTCACGCCTGACTTCAAAGAGGTCCTTGTCTTGGATAGCTCTTGGCTTCATTTCAAGAGCGCTTCCGAATCCTGCGGCAGGTGATTGAGTTTAGGGTTGAGGGATCCGGTTTAAGACGGTTTGCGTTTTCTGTACACCTTGCAGAGTTCGGCGGCGCGCCACTTTCTCGGAGTCGTCTTGGCACCATGGAGGAGATAGACAGACTGCTTTCCACCATCGAGCTTGACGAGTACACCATCAAGGAAACCGAAGTGACATCTGAGTCTGGAGGATTTGTCTAGTCCTTGCGATCTGGAGTGAGTGCCACTAAGTCACTAATGTAACGCTTCAGCCCAAGCTTAATCTCCGAGCATGATGCCGAAAAGGAAGTCCAAAATGGTTGGGAGACGACCGAGAAACGGTTGGGCGGGCCAAAAGCAGCTGGTGAGGAGGTGTTTACGAAGCTGAGGCGTCTCGGCACAGCAAGAATGAAAGCTTCTATTCGATGAAGATGGATTTCGGAATGGCAGTAACTCAGTAGGAGTCTTTCAGCGTCGAGCCCTACTGATTCGAAGTCCCAGGAACGAACTTCCAAAGACGCAGGGAATGCTCACGCGATCCAGCACCGTTTGGCATCTCTTGTCGGAGTTGTTGCAATCCCTTGGGCAGCCGAAGCTTGTTCAGAAGCGCCTGGAGTACATCGCCCTGCGCCACATGAACGCGGACATCACCACGGCCGACGTCGAGATCTTCCGCAACATCCTGTTTGAAGTTTGTGCGTCGAAGCTGGGTGGCTTGATGACTCCAGAGTTCCAGTTTGGCCTGGGTCAGATCGTCGTGGCCGTGGGCACTTCGTTGGCCAAGACCCACGCGCACTATGCACAGCGACTGAAGCTGCTGACAACCTGCTGGAAGGAAGTGAATGTGACCGAGGACGAGACCCAAGAGCAACAGGGCCCCGTGTCTCGGCAAAACTCAGAGGAGCAAGACAAGCCGGCAGGGGAGGAGGAAGATACGACAAAGGACAAGTCCGAGCAGCAGGCCAAGGAAGCTAGCACGACCGGGGATGGTGCGAAAGATGTGGAGAAGGGTGAACAGGAGCAGGGCGATGATAAGCATGGATCTTGGCAGGACAACTCCAACCTGAACATTCCAAAGACCTTTGCAGCAATGGCGCGGTTCAATGCTGCTGTGATGGGCACGGGAGACCGCATGTGGTTCGCTGACATGCTCTATGCCATGGAGTCTCTCGTGCCCTACATCGGCAACATAGACCGGGTTCAGGAAGACTGCGACGTACTGATGTTGACGTTGGCCAAATACGGCCAAATCAATCTGAAGGAATTCCGTTCCGTGATGTTCGCAAGTCTTAGGTCCCTCCTGCCCACCAAATGGAGCAACGACCACGAGAATGCTTGGGCTTGGTTCTGGACCATTGTGGAGAAGAAGGTTGAAGAGAACAAGAAGCTCCCCGTGTACAACCACCAGTGCTTGAGGACGTTTCTGGCTCGCCTCGACGAAGAGACCCTTGCAGACTTTAAGCTGAAGGTGTTCGACTCCTTCTTCGCAAACTGCGAGGAGTCGCAGCTTTACTTGCGGGCGGCCAACAAGCGCTTGATGTACATCATGGGGAGGATCTTGACCATCATGTCGGACATCTACACAAAGACCCACCAAGCCGTCATCGCCCTGTCCGCTTTGGGCCTTCTTCATGCCGGGCACGGGGTTCCGGAGGACTTGGTGCGCCCTTTTGTCGCGGCTTTCATGGGCGGTATGAAGGAGAACTGCCCAGATGAGTCTATACATGATGGGCTCTGGTGGACGTTGGATCTCATGGGCAGGATCCTCATCCGAACCCTGGCAGAAGGCTCCACGCCAGTGATCATCGCCATCAACAGGAACACATCAAAGGCCATGAAGGTGGCTGTAGCAAACTATCCTCGTGGACAGCGCGAGGTGGTCTTGCTGACGGTCCAGGTGGGCACCGAATCGATGTCTCCTTTGATATGGGCAGTGGAGAAGGGCGCCCTGGAGTCTGCGAGGGAGATCCTGAACGATTTGTTGACCCTGCGTGCGGACCGTGCCCGGTACTATTACGGAATGGAGATGTTGTTCACCCGCCATTCTGACATCATCAGCCTGCTTTGCACCAAGGCGCCGTCTCTCTTGCCGACGGTCTTTGATGGACTCATCTGGCGTTCCAAGAATGTGAAGAATGGCATGCGGCGTGCGAACTACTATATCGCGTCCTTGCTCAGGGGCGAAGATGGCCAGCTGACAGACTCCCTCCTCGACCTGATCAAGCAAGGTGACCCCGAAATCATCTGTCATCCCACGGTGGTGTTTCAGGCGGATCTTCTTTGGACTCGGCTTTGTTGCTTGCCATGGGCTATGACGAAGCTGTGGTTCTGTGCCACCCTTGTGGTCTACGTCATGGCAGAGCAGCAAGCTGTGACTTCAAGCGATCCCTTGAGTCAGGAGCGCTTCACTACCATCATCTGCCGGGCCTTCTTGTACCTCGGCAGCCTTGGGCAGCTCTTCGCCAAGCATGCCTACCAGACATACAGGGCAGTACGCCAGAAGCAGATGACGCGCATCTGCTGCTTGCCGGTGCCCAAGTACGTGCTGCAAACGCGGCAGGAGTTGACCGAAGTTGCTCTCATGCTCCTCTTGATGTGTTTGTTGCTCGGCCCGTTATAACTCACCACACCGACTTCTTCTAGTTTACCAGGCTCAGCATGTGTGAGTTTCAATTGCACCGAGGTTGTGTTGCGAGCCAGTGCTTCACTGCCTTGCCGTCAGCAGCGAGCTGCTGACAAACTGCTGCGAGCACGGGGAATGGCAATGCAATCTGATCCAGGTGTATAACCGCCTCGCCACCTTTCCCATGGTCCTCTACTTCGTGCTTACCTCCGAGTTGGTGCACCTGAATGTCAGTCTCTCCGTCTTTAGCGTGATCTGTTCGTGCCTCATGTGGGAGTTCATGCTGTATGTAGCAGTCCTGGCATTCTTTGCTGCGGCTTTTGCATCGGCGATTGCTTGCTTGCCTCAAGCTCTGGCCGCTGATTCGGTTCACGAACGCGACTTCTCCAGCTGGCCTTTGGCTTTTGAGTCTTTGCTGTCCTCTGCCTTCAATGTCTATGACAGTGACAACTACGAGCAAATCGCGGTCGCAGATGAGCCGATGCTAAAGTGGTTTGTCATGGCCTTCGCCGCATGCTGGCACGTGTACCTCATGAACCTCATGGTGGCACAACTTTGCCAGCGCTACAACGACATCTACCACGACGCACGTGGCAATGCTCGCCTGACCCGTGGAACCAACATCTATGAGACCTCCATGCCGTTGATTTCCAAGAAACGCTGGACAGCCTTCGTGGAGTCCTTACACTTGGACGAGGCTTGCGAGCTCGATGAGGGCGACACCGGGCCCCGCGGTGCAGTTCCGACGACCGAGAGCCCGTACGACTACTTGCAGTATCCCAAGGTGACGCTGGATCGCGTTCAGCGGTACGGTGGCCTTGCGCATCCAAGGCTGCCGTGGCCATCTCTCGATGAGGCTGTGGACGACAGCGCCGTCGGCAAGTTAACGCGCATGACGCAGTCCAAGTTCGAGGACTTTCACCTTGCACAAGGTTTCAAACCCTGAAACCCTGTGCTTCGCAACCCCCTGCCTTAACCTTTGCGGCAGGAGATGGACAGGCTCATGGTGGACATGGCCATCAAACTCCAGGTTCGTCCTCCAGGGACCTCAGGTGGCACCAAGGACTACTCAGCCATGCACTCCGAGAAGCGCAGCTCGACGGAAGTTTCGCAGGTTTTTGAAGTTTAGGGGCTCGAGCACAGCTCCTGCAAGATATGAGCGATTGAGAGTGCAGATACGAGAAGCAGGGAGAGAACACAAGTGTGTCTTGCCATGGCGAATCCCTGGAGCGAGGCGATGATGAAAGCAAGATTGCCGAATCTGTTGATGATCACGAACATGACATCGGCACCATAAAGCAAACCGAAGTCTCAGAGGAGTTGGCCGTGAACGAGAAAACCGTGCATCTCGGTGAGAATAGTGGGTCGGCGAATAATGTTGAGGCCCTGGCAGCTGTTGACCCTGAGCTGAAGCTGTAAGCGTTTCTCCCAACTGCTTTAAGATTTCTGCGGAACAGAAAGCTCCAGTACCAGTGCCATAGATTAATTAAAGCATCGTCACCATCACCCAGCGCCACCATCTCCAACGCCACTATTGTGACAGTACTTGAGATCGGTCGGAAGAGTCGCCTATTGGAGCATAATGGTATGGATGTGCTGCTCTATGCTTTAGGGGCCCCCACCCTGTCATAGTGGTATAATATAGGAATATAATAGGGCCCTAATACAATCCTTATAGTCACTATTACAGGGTGGGGGCAGCTTCTATTGTATGCTGCTATTGCCTCAGTCTCGTACTCCTTTCACCTTGGAAGACCTTTTCTTTGAGAGACTGTCTGTTTACTGGGAATTGGGACGGCTCAATTCAATCACGTGGCATGCTGCTGATACTACGTAGTGCCTTGACATACCTGACATACCTTGGCTATGCCCGACCATGTTTTGTGAGTTTTTACCGCAGTACATATTAGTTACCGCTGTCATAGCAGTAGTAATTAGTAAAGGTGGTGTGGTATAGTGGTAGTGGTAGTGGTAGCGGTACTGTAGCGGTAGCGGTAGCGGTGTCGGTGGAGTGGTAGTGGTAGTGGTAGTGGTAGTGGCAGTGGTAGTGGCAGTGGCAGTGGCAGTGGTAGTGGTGGTGTAGTGGCACTGACAGTGGCACTGGCAGTGTTAGTGGTAGTGGGAGTGGGAGTGCTAGTGGTAGTTGTGCTAGCACCTAGTTGGTAGTAGGTAGTAGTAGTCGTCGTCGTAGTCGTCGTAGTAGCAGTAGGAGTAGTGGTAGTAGTCGTCGTAGTAGTAGTCGTAGTAGATGTAGTAGTAGTAGTACTACTAGTAGTAGTAGTAGTAGTGGTCGTAGTCGTAGTCGTAGTCGTAGTCGTAGTAGTAGTAGTAGTTGTAGTAGTAGTAGAAGTAGTAGTCGTCGTAGTAGTAGTCGTTGTAGTAGTAGTAGTAGTCGTAGTAGTAGTAGTAGTAGTAGTAGTAGTAGTAGTAGTAGTAGTAGTATAGTAGTAGTAGTAGTAGTAGTAGTAGTAGTAGTAGTAGTAGTAGTAGTAGTAGTAGTAGTGGTACTAGTAGTAGTCGTATAGTAGTACTAGTAGTGGTAGTGGTAGTCGTAGTAGCAGCCGAGGAAGTAGCAGTAGTGGTGTTGGTGCTGGTGGTAGTAGTAAGCTGTTATTGTAGTAGTAGTCGTCGTATTAGTAGCAGTAGTAGCAGTAGTAGTGGTAGTAGCACTTGAACTAGTACTAGTACTGCTGCTGCTTCTACTTCTACTACTACTACTACTACTACTACTACAACTACTACTACTACTACTACTACTACTACTACTGCTACTGCTACTGCTACTGCAACTGCAACTGCAATTGCAACTGCAACTGCAACTGCTACTACTACTACTACTACTACTACTACTACTAATGCTACTACTACTGCTACTACTACTACTACTACTACTACTACTACTACTACTACTACTACTACTGCTAGTATTGCTAGTACTGCTAGTAGTAGTAGTAGTAGTAGTAGTAGTAGTAGTAGTAGTAGTAGTAGTAGTAGTAGTAGTAGTAGTAGTAGTAGTAGTAGTAGTGGTAGTTGTAGAACACGGAGCAGTAGGTGATGGTGGTGGCGGTGGCGGTGGCGGTGCGTGGTGGTAGTGGTGGTGGTGGTGGTGGTGGCGGTGTGCAGTGGTTCTACTGGTAGTAGTCGTCGTCGTAGTGGCGTAGTGGAAGTGGCAGTGGCAGCGGTAGTGGTAGTGGTGGTAGTAGTAGTAGTAGTAGTGAAGTACTTAGTTATGCAGTGCAATGCGGAGGCTTTGCCTGCATTTCCATTTCGTTTCTTCCGGAACGGACTGACGGCCTTTCTGCTGATTGCCGCCGCTGTCAGTGAAAAACAAGCCTTAGCCTTCTGCCGGTCGCATTACTGTGCCTCTGCTACTAGTGCTGCACAATCACTATCCTCGTTCAGGTACACACAGCAATCTGAAGCTTGATGCCTGGCAGCCTACAAACTTGCTTCGGCTGACCACTGCCAGTTAGCTGGAAGCCTGTAGGCCGCCAACACCCAAAGGTCTTTGACCTGGGCTGTTCAGCTATAGGGTCTGAGTCAGTTTCACACCATGTGAGTGCACCGCGGCAATCGCCCGCTATGTGCTGAGCCCGCTCGCACAGCGTTCAATTGAAATTGAAGTACTTAGTGGTAGTCGTCGTAGTAGTCGCAGTGGCAGTAGTGGTCATAGTACCACGACTAATTACTGCTGCTCCTGCTACTGCTACTGCTCCTGCTCCTGCTCCTGCTCCTGCTCCTGCTCCTACTGCTACTGCTACTGCTACTGCTACTGCTACTGCTACTGCTACTGCTACTGCTACTGCTACTGCTACTGCTGCTGCTGCTACTACTGCTATTACTCATACTAGTGATCTTATCGTTGTCGCCGCCCTCATGGACGTCTTCGTAGTCGTGGTAGTCGTCGGAGTAGTGGCAGTAGTAGTGATAGTAGCAGGAAGCAAAGGCTGTCGCATTGATCGGCAGTACCAGCGACAGTGTTTTGTGCTTTGTCGCAGCATCCACGGATCTCAGGAACGAGCTCATGAATGAGCACACCGATGAAGCCGAGACCTTGACAGCGAACCCCCTTTGACATCAACCCCAGCGACAATCGAAGTCCTTCTATCGTGCAGAATTAAACTCCTTGAGCTTTTTGTGTTTAATTCGGTGAGCCGAGGCGGGGCGGTGAATGGTGGGCCGGGAGTTTGGGCTGTTAGGTTGTAAGCAGTTATGGACGTAAGACGCAGTGGCATGTGACATCAAAAAGGCCCACTCTAACTCTAGCTGCTCAGAAACCGGCATAGAAAAGTTTTGGAACACTTTGTGGCGCAAGGCAGCCGCCAATGGGGACATTTTGGCACCCCCTGTGGTGCCTAGTGATATCTCGTAGCCAGACCTTCTGCTTGCTACAATGTAGGATCGGCTTGTTCTCGAACCCATCCGCGAACGATTGTGCGGCGCTGTCGGTATTTTCAACGCCACTGTTTGAAGAGTACTCGGCGAAAAACGCCTGCAATATTCTGTTTTCACGAACCCTGCTGAAGGTTCCAGGGAGCCTTTGCTTAAGCCCGATGGCTCGCTGTATAGACTCAGAGCCGATATTGGCAGAATATCCTAAAGGTCGTGCCTATAGTCTCCATTGTAGTTCCTTCTTTTGGTTTAACCAAATATTTAATTAGGATCCTATAAGGTAACTCCAAAAAGGAACTACAATGGAGACTATAGGTGTAGGTAACAGCTCGGAGCATGGGACTCACGCGGAGCTGTGGACAAACACGGACAGCCGCTTTGCCACGTACTGCGGGGCTTGGCATGTGCCCTTTCTGCAGGCATTCAGACTTTGGGACAGGACTCATCCTAAACTTGAAGCATGGATGCCCGAAGACCGCGTTCCAGGTCACAGAGCCGAGGGCCTTTACTGTTCGCTAGATTCGCCGTGTCGGTGCTTTGCAGAATCGTGGATTTCTGCCAGCACATACGTCCCAAACTCACATGACCTTGCAGGAAGAAGTGCTGAACATACCAGGTTGATGAAGGCTCTTTGTGGAAATCATTTCGGCTCAAAGCCACTTGCAAATTCACGCCTGACTTCAAAGAGGTCCTTGTCTTGGATAGCTCTTGGCTTCATTTCAAGAGCGCTTCCGAATCCTGCGGCAGGTGATTGAGTTTAGGGTTGAGGGATCCGGTTTAAGACGGTTTGCGTTTTCTGTACACCTTGCAGAGTTCGGCGGCGCGCCACTTTCTCGGAGTCGTCTTGGCACCATGGAGGAGATAGACAGGCTGCTTTCCACCATCGAGCTTGACGAGTACACCATCAAGGAAACCGAAGTGACATCTGAGTCTGGAGGATTTGTCTAGTCCTTGCGATCTGGAGTGAGTGCCACTAAGTCACTAACGTAACGCTTCAGCCCAAGCTTAATCTCCGAGCATGATGCCGAAAAGGAAGTCCAAAATGGTTGGGAGACGACCGAGAAACGGTTGGGCGGGCCAAAAGCAGCCGGTGAGGAGGTGTTTACGAAGCTGAGGCGTCTCGGCACAGCAAGAATGAAAGCTTCTATTCGATGAAGATGGATTTCGGAATGGCAGTAACTCAGTAGGAGTCTTTCAGCGTCGAGCCCTACTGATTCGAAGTCCCAGGAACGAACTTCCAAAGACGCAGGGAATGCTCACGCGATCCAGCACCGTTTGGCATCTCTTGTCGGAGTTGTTGCAATCCCTGAACCAGCCGAAGCTTGTTCAGAAGCGCCTGGAGTACATCGCCCTGCGCCACATGAATGCGGATATCACCACGGCCGACGTCGAGATCTTCCGCAACATCCTGTTTGAAGTTTGTGCGTCGAAGCTGGGTGGCTTGATGACTCCAGAGTTCCAGTTTGGCCTGGGTCAGATCGTCGTGGCCGTGGGCACTTCGTTGGCCAAGACCCACGCGCACTATGCACAGCGACTGAAGCTGCTGACAACCTGCTGGAAGGAAGTGAATGTGACCGAGGACGACACCCAAGAGCAACAGGGCCCCGTGTCTCGGCAAAACTCAGAGGAGCAAGACAAGCCGGCAGGGGAGGAGGAAGAAACGACAAAGGACAAGTCCGAGCAGCAGGCCAAGGAAGCTAGCACGACCGGGGATGGTGCGAAAGATGTGGAGAAGGGTGAACAGGAGCAGGGCGATGATAAGCATGGATCTTGGCAGGACAACTCCAACCTGAACATTCCAAAGACCTTTGCCGCAATGGCGCGGTTCAATGCTGCTGTGATGGGCACGGGAGACCGCATGTGGTTCGCTGACATGCTCTATGCCATGGAGTCCCTCGTGCCCTACATCGGCAACATAGACCGGGTTCAGGAAGACTGCGACGTACTGATGTTGACGTTGGCCAAATACGGCCAAGTCAATCTGAAGGAATTCCGTTCCGTGATGTTCGCAAGTCTGAGGTCCCTCCTGCCCACCAAGTGGAGCAACGACCACGAGAACGCTTGGGCCTGGTTCTGGACCATTGTGGAGAAGAAGGTGGAAGAGAACAAGAAGCTCCCCGTGTACAACCACCAGTGCTTAAGGACGTTTCTGGCTCGCCTCGACGAAGAGACCCTTGCAGACTTTAAGCTGAAGATCTTCGACTCCTTCTTCGCAAACTGCGAGGAGTCGCAGCTTTACTTGCGGGCGGCCAACAAGCGCTTGATGTACATCATGGGGAGGATCTTGACCATCATGTCGGACATCTACACAAAGACCCACCAAGCCGTCATCGCCCTGTCCGCTTTGGGCCTTCTTCATGCCGGGCACGGGGTTCCGGAGGACTTGGTGCGCCCTTTTGTCGCGGCTTTCATGGGCGGTATCAAGGAGAACTGCCCAGATGAGTCTATACATGATGGGCTCTGGTGGACGTTGGATCTCATCGGCAGGATCTTCATCCGCACGCTGTCAGAAGGCTCCACGCCAGTGATCATCGCCATCAACAGGAACACATCAAAGGCCATGAAGGTGGCTGTGGCAAACTATCCTCGTGGAGAGCGCGAGGTGATTTTGCTGACGGTCCAGGTGGGCACCGAATCGATGTCTCCTTTGATATGGGCAGTGGAGAAGGGCGCCCTGGAGTCTGCTAGGGAGATCCTGAACGATTTGCTCACCCTGCGTGCGGACCGTGCCCGGTACTATTACGGAATGGAGATGTTGTTCACCCGCCATTCTGACATCATCAGCCTTCTTTGCACCAAGGCGCCGTCGCTCCTGCCGACGGTTTTTGATGGACTCATCTGGCGTTCCAAGAATGTGAAGAATGGCATGCGGCGCGCGAACTACTATATCGCGTCCTTGCTCAGGGGCGAAGATGGCCAGCTGACAGACTCCCTCCTCGACCTGATCAAGCAAGGTGACCCCGAAATCATCTGTCACCCCACGGTGGTGTTTCAGGCAGATCTTCTTTGGACTCGGCTTTGTTGCTTGCCATGGGCTATGACGAAGCTGTGGTTCTGTGCCACCCTTGTGGTCTACGTCATGGCAGAGCAGCAAGCTGTGACTTCAAGCGATCCCTTGAGTCAGGAGCGCTTCACCACCATCATCTGCCGGGCCTTCTTGTACATCGGGGGCCTTGGGCAGCTCTTCGCCAAGCACGCCTACCAGACATACAGGGCAGTACGTCAGAAGCAGATGACCCGCATCTGCTGCTTGCCAGTGCCCAAGTACGTGCTGCAAACGCGGCAGGAGTTGACCGAAGTTGCTCTCATGCTCCTCTTGATGTGTTTGTTGCTCGGCCCGTTAACTCACCACACCGACTTCTTCTAGTTTACCAGAAATTTACCGCGGCTCGCGTTGCGGCTCAGCATGTGTGAGTTTCAATTGCACCGAGGCTGTGTTGCGAGCCAGTGCTCCACTGCCTTGCCGTCAGCAGCGAGCTGCTGACAAACTGCTGCGAGCACGGGGAATGGCAATGCAATCTGATCCAGGTGTATAACCGCCTCGCCACCTTTCCCATGGTCCTCTACTTCGTGCTTACCTCCGAGTTGGTGCACCTGAATGTCCACCTCTCCGTTTTTAGCGTGATCTGTTCGTGCCTCATGTGGGAGTTCATGCTGTATGTAGCAGTCCTGGCATTCTTTGCTGCGGCTTTTGCATCGGCGATTGCTTGCTTACCTCAAGCTCTGGCCGCTGATTCGGTTCACGAACGCGACTTCTCCAGCTGGCCTTTGGCTTTTGAGTCTCTGCTGTCCTCTGCCTTCAATGTCTATGGCAGTGACAACTACGAGCAGATCGCGGTCGCAGGTGAGCCGATGCTAAAGTGGTTTGTCATGGCCTTCGCCGCATGCTGGCACGTGTACCTCATGAACCTCATGGTGGCACAGCTTTGCCAGCGCTACAACGAAATCTATCACGACGCACGGGGAAATGCTCGCCTGACCCGTGGAATCAATATCTATGAGACCTCCATGCCACTGATTTCCAAGAAACGCTGGACAGCGTTCGTGGAATCCTTACATTTGGACGAGGCTTGCGAACTCGATGAGGGCGACACCGGGCCCCGCGGTGCAGTTCCGACCAACGAGGACCCGTACGACTACTTGCAGTATCCCAAGGTGACACTCGATCGAGTTCAGCGCTATGGTGGCCTTGCGAATCCAGCGCTGCCGTGGCCATCTCTCGATGAGGCTGTGGACGACAGCGCCGTCGGCAAGTTAACGCGCATGACCCAAGCCAAATTCGAGGACCCTCGCATCGTGCTCACATCCAGTCATGCCTTGCAGCCCTGTGTTGAGCTACCCGCTACCCCTCGCCCCTGGAAGATTTCTCGCGAGGAGATGGACAGGCTCATGGTGGACATGGCCATCAAACTCCAGGTTCGTCCTCCAGGGACCTCGGGTGGCACCAAGGACTACTCAGCCATGCATTCCGAGAAGCGTAGCTCGACGGAAGTTTCGCATGTTGTTGAAGCTGAGGGGCTTTGTCCTCAGCTGCAACTTATGTTCGGGAGAGAGGGGAGAGAGAGAGAGAGAGAGAGAGAGAGAGAGGGAGGGAGGGAGAGAGAGAGAGAGAGAGAGAGAGAGAGAGAGCGAGAGAGAGAGAGATAGAGAGAGAAGAGAGGGAAGGAGAAAGAGAGAGAGAGGGAAGGAGAAAGAGAGAGAGAGAGAGAGAGAGAGCGAGAGAGAGAGCGAGAGAGAGAGAGCGAGAGAGAGAGAGAGAGAGAGAGACAGAGGGAGAGAGAGAGAGAGAGAGAGAGAGGCAGAGAGAGGGAGAGACAAAGAGAGATTGTCTTGTCTTACTTTCTGGGACCAGGCGATGAAAGCAAGATTGCTGAATCTGTTGATGATCACGAGCATGACGTCGGCACCGTAAAGGAAACCGAAGTCTCAGAGGAGTTGGCCGTGAACGAGAAAACCGTGCACCTCGGGCCTAAGTGGGTCGTCGAGATGTCGTCGAGTATCATGTAGGCCTGATGAAACAACCCTGATCCTATAACCCCATATTGGCATCCATAAAGAACTCAATCATAGGGACCCGCGGTTTCTTGATCAGCTTCCTACGTTAGGGCCATCGCTCTTGCAGGTCTCCCATAGGACGACAGCAGAGAATTCACTTAATGTCAAGTCGGGTGGTGGTGCTGCTGGGTGGTTGTGACGTGTTAAGGGTTTAGGGGTGGTTGTGATTGATCCTACAATTTTTATGATTATGCCGTATTGCTAGGCCCAGAACGGGTGGTTGGAAGTGATTTAGGACCCTGGAAAGTCTGTGTTTAGGATTGTTTAGGGAACAATATGGAAGCTCTTTTTGTACGTGAAAACGCGCCGAATTCGGTGATGTGTTTGGTGTTGTAATTTCCTAGTGTGGCCCTACGTGTTTCATTGTTTCGCTAGTTCTGCAAAATCTAAAAAATTCGATTCTTCGCCGAACATGTGCAACATGATGTTGTTGTTTCGCTCTTTTGTGTCTCAGCATACGGCCTAGGGCTTCACGCCCAAACCCTTTGTTCGTCCCATGTTTGCTTTCTCTCTATGCAGGGAACGTAAACAATAGGCGAACATTTGACTTTTTGTTGAAACTCAGCAAAGTCTTCTTGTCGGTGCATGTGTGTGTGTGTGTGTGTTTGCTTTTAACGCCTCAACCCAGGATTTCGCGCCTAAATTTCACGATGACGATACTTACTACTGCCATCACTGTTACAACTGCTACGACTCGAAAGCGACGTCACTGCCTGATCCTGCCCTTTTTTCGTTTGGACTAAACGACCAGACCTTCGAAGATCTCTTAATTATGAAGGAATAGACCTTGCATCACATGAGGGGTCCTACTATGACTTAAGGTATATTCCTGGATCAAAGTATACCGAGAGGGTCATACCCTACCCCTTTCTCAGGGTACCTAGTTCTATGATTAGGATTTCCTATATAGAAAAGTAGGTGCCCTTTAAACGGGGTCGGGTATGAGCCTGTAGGTATTTTTTTTGAAGGTGTGGGGGCAGAAGGGGTGGAGCGGTCGGGGGGCGGGCGAAGGGAAGAGCATTTGTTCCTATTGCAGCAGCTTCGGTACCTTGAATCAGTTCAGCTTTTGTGGGGCTTTGCTCCTTGAACTGTTACACAAGAAGCTTGACTTGCATTTTGTTCTTTGTGGGGAGTTGTAGTCGTCGTCGCGGCAGAAGAAATTGTTGTGTTAGTATGTGAAGTAGTATTTATTGGTAGAGTACTTTTTGTAGCACTGGGAGTAGTACTGCTAGTAGTAATCAGTTGTGATCAGTAGTGATAGTGTGAGTCGCTGTCAGTACTAGTCATATCGATAGGCATAGTCGCAAAGTGATCGTGACAGTGATTGCGAATATAGTGATAGTGTACTTAGCAGTTGCTGTTGCATGGATTGGCAGTACCAGCGGCAGTGTTCATGTGTTTTGCCACATCATCCGCGGATCTCAGGAACGAACTCATGAATGAGCACACCGATGAAGCCGAGACCTTGACAGCGAACCCCATTTGACATCAACCCCAGCGACAATCGAAGTCCTTCTATCGTGCAGAATTAAACTCCTTGAGCCTTTTATGTTTAATTCGCTGAGCCGAGGCTGGGCTGTGATTCGTGGACCGGGGCTTTGGGCTTGTTGACACTTTTGACCGTGGTTTAGATCAGGGTGCAAGCCAAGCACAATGGCAAGATGCACGAGAAGGTCGACGAGAATAGCAGCTCAGAAACCGGGCATCGATCATTTTTGAAACCATGTGTGGTGCAAGGCAGCCACCATTTGGTCCGTTGGCACCCTGATTATGTTGGAAGCCATAGCTTACAGCCAAATCCTTTCAATGAGTTGTTTTGCCAAGAGAGGCGCAGCATTGGCTTGTTCCGGAACCCATGCGACCAACTGCGTGCCGCTGCCAGTATTTCAATGCCACTGTTTGAAGAGGAACTTGGCGAATAACGCCTGCTGTATGCTGAAAATGTTCGTTTCTGTTCACGACCCTGCTAAAGGCTCCAGAGAGCCTTTGCTGAAGCCCGATGGCTGTATAGACTCAGAGCCTATGGGCAGTGATATCCTCAGAGCATGGGACTCACCCGGAGCTGTGGACAAACGCGAACCGCCGCTTTGCGACGTCCTGCAGTGCGTGGCATGCGTTCTTCTTGCAGACATTCAGCCTTTGGTGAAAGACTCATGCTAAACTTGAAGCATTGACACCCGAAGACCACCGAACAGAGGGCTTTTGCTATTCGCTGTGTCGGTGCTTGCAGAATCGTGGCTTTCTGTCAGCACATACGTCCCCGACTCACATGACCTTGCAGGAAGACGTGCTGAACATACCAGGTTGATGAAGGCTCTTTGTGGAAATCATTTCGGCTCAAAGCCACTTGCAAATTCACGCCTGACTTCAAAGAGGTCCTTGTCTTGGATAGCTCTTGGCTTCATTTCAAGAGCGCTTCCGAATCCTGCGGCAGGTGATTGAGTTTAGGGTTGAGGGATCCGGTTTAAGACGGTTTGCGTTTTCTGTACACCTTGCAGAGTTCGGCGGCGCGCCACTTTCTCGGAGTCGTCTTGGCACCATGGAGGAGATAGACAGGCTGCTTTCCACCATCGAGCTTGACGAGTACACCATCAAGGAAACCGCAGTGACATCTGAGTCTGGAGGATTTGTCTAGTTCACAGGCACTAAGTCAGTCACTAATGTAATGCTTCACCCCAAGCTTGATGCCGAAAAGGAGGTCCAAAATGGTTGGGAGACGACCGAGAAACGGTTGGGCGGGCCAAAGGCGGCCGGCGAGGAGGTGTTTACGAAGCTGAGGCGTCTCGGCACAGCAAGAATGAAAGCTTTCTCTTCGATGAAGATGGAAGACATGACAGTCTAGTAGGCTTCCATCGTCGCGCTTTGTCCCAGGAACGAACTTCCAAAGACGCAGGGAATGCTCACGCGATCCAGCACCGTTTGGCATCTCTTGTCGGAGTTGTTGCAATCCCTGAACCAGCCGAAGCTTGTTCAGAAGCGCCTGGAGTACATCGCCCTGCGCCACATGAATGCGGATATCACCACGGCCGACGTCGAGATCTTCCGCAACATCTTGTTTGAAGTTTGTGCGTCGAAGCTGGGTGGCTTGATGACTCCAGAGTTCCAGTTTGGCCTGGGTCAGATCGTCGTGGCCGTGGGCACTTCGTTGGCCAAGACCCACGCGCACTACGCAAAGCGCTTGTTTCTGCTGACATCGTGCTGGAAGGAAGTGAATGTGACGGAGGACGACACTCAAGAGCAACAGGGCCCCGTGTCTCGGCAAAACTCAGAGGAGCAAGACAAGCAGGGCGGGGAAGAAGAATATAAGACCAAAGACAAGTCCGAGCAGCAGGCCAAGGAAGCTAGCACGACCGGGGATGGTGCGAAAGATGCGGAGAAGGGTGAACAGGAGCAGGGCGATGATAAGCACGGAGCGTGGCAGGACAATTCCAACCTGAACATTCCGAAGACCTTTGCAGCAATGGCGCGGTTCAATGCTGCTGTGATGGGCACGGGAGACCGCATGTGGTTCGCTGACATGCTCTATGCCATGGAGTCTCTCGTGCCCTACATCGGCAACATAGACCGTGTTCAGGAAGACTGCGACGTACTGATGTTGACGTTGGCCAAATACGGCCAAATCAATCTGAAGGAATTCCGTTCCGTGATGTTCGCAAGTCTTAGGTCCCTCCTGCCCACCAAATGGAGCAACGACCACGAGAATGCTTGGGCTTGGTTCTGGACCATTGTGGAGAAGAAGGTTGAAGAGAACAAGAAGCTCCCCGTGTACAACCACCAGTGCTTGAGGACGTTTCTGGCTCGCCTCGACGAAGACACCCTTGCAGACTTTAAGCTGAAGGTGTTCGACTCCTTCTTCGCAAACTGCGAGGAGTCGCAGCTTTACTTGCGGGCGGCCAACAAGCGCTTGATGTACATCATGGGGAGAATCTTGACCATCATGTCGGACATCTACACAAAGACCCACCAAGCCGTCATCGCCCTGTCCGCTTTGGGCCTCCTTCATGCCGGCCACGGAGTTCCGGAGGACTTGGTGCGCCCTTTCGTCGCGGCTTTCATGGGCGGTATCAAGGAGAACTGCCCAGATGAGTCTATACATGATGGGCTCTGGTGGACGTTGGACCTCATCGGCAGGATCTTCATCCGCACGCTGTCAGAAGGCTCCACGCCAGTGATCATCGCCATCAACAGGAACACATCAAAGGCCATGAAGCTGGCTGTGGCAAACTACCCGCGTGGAGAGCGGGAGGTGGTTTTGCTGACGGTCCAGGTGGGCACCGAATCGATGTCTCCTTTGATTTGGGCAGTGGAGAAGGGCGCCCTGGAGTCTGCTAGGGAGATCCTCAACGATTTGTTGACCATGCGTGCGGACCGTGCCCGGTACTACTATGGAATGGAGATGTTGTTCACTCGGCATTCTGACATCATCAGCCTGCTTTGCACCAAGGCGCCGTCTCTCTTGCCGACGGTCTTTGATGGACTCATCTGGCGTTCCAAGAATGTGAAGAATGGCATGCGGCGCGCGAACTACTATATCGCGTCCTTGCTCAGGGGCGAAGATGGCCAGCTGACAGACTCCCTCCTCGACCTGATCAAGCAAGGTGACCCCGAAATCATCTGTCATCCCACGGTGGTGTTTCAGGCGGATCTTCTTTGGACTCGGCTTTGTTGCTTGCCATGGGCTATGACGAAGCTGTGGTTCTGTGCCACCCTTGTGGTCTACGTCATGGCAGAGCAGCAAGCGGTGACTTCAAGCGATCCCTTGAGTCAGGAGCGCTTCACCACCATCATCTGCCGGGCCTTCTTGTACATCGGCAGCCTTGGGCAGCTCTTCGCCAAGCATGCCTACCAGACATACAGGGCAGTACGCCAGAAGCAGATGACGCGCATCTGCTGCTTGCCGGTGCCCAAGTACGTGCTGCAAACGCGGCAGGAGTTGACCGAAGTTGCTCTCATGCTCCTCTTGATGTGTTTGTTGCTCGGCCCGTTATAGCTCACCACACCGACTTCTTCTAGTTTACCAGAAATGTACCTCGGCCAAGAAATGTGAGTTGCAAATCCACCGAGGCTGTGTTGCGAGCCAGTGCTCCACTGCCTGGCTGTCAGCAGCGAGCTGCTGACAAACTGCTGCGAGCACGGGGAATGGCAATGCAATCTGATGCACGTGTATAACCGCCTCGCCACCTTTCCCATGGTTCTCTACTTCGTGCTTACCTCCGAATTGGTGCACCTGAATGTCAGTCTCTCAGTATTCAGCGTGATCTGTTCTTGCCTCATGTGGGAGTTCCTCCTGTATGTAGCAGTCCTGGCATTCTTTGCTGCGGCTTTTGCATCGGCGATTGCTTGCTTGCCTCAAGCTCTGGCCGCTGATTCGGTTCACGAACGCGACTTCTCCAGCTGGCCTTTGGCTTTTGAGTCTTTGCTGTCCTCAGCCTTCAATGTCTATGGCAGTGATAACTACGAGCAAATCGCGGTCGCAGATGAGCCGATGCTAAAGTGGTTTGTCATGGCCTTCGCCGCATGCTGGCACGTGTACCTCATGAACCTCATGGTGGCACAGCTTTGCCAGCGCTACAACGAAATCTACCACGACGCACGGGGAAATGCTCGCCTGACCCGTGGAATCAACATCTATGAGACCTCCATGCCGTTGATTTCCAAGAAACGCTGGACAGCCTTCGTGGAGTCCTTACGCTTGGAAGAGGCTTGCGAGCTCGATGAGGGTGATAATGGCCCCCGTGGTGCAGTACCCACTAACGAGGACCCATACGACTACTTGCAGTATCCAAAGGTGGAGCTGGACCGCGTTCAGCGCTATGGTGGCCTTGCGAATCCAGCGCTGCCGTGGCCATCCCTCGATGAGGCTGTGGACGACAGCGCCGTCGGCAAGTTAACACGCATGACACAAGCCAAATTCGAGGACCCTCACATCCATTCAGTACCTCACAACCCTGTACTTCGTAACCTCCTGCCTGCAGCCGCAAGCACCCATCCACATGGCTAAGGTATCTCCCAATTTCGGAAACTCCCTCATAAGCCCTGAAGCTTTCGTTCGCCCGAGGAGATGGACCGGCTCATGGTGGACATGGCCATCAAACTCCAGGTTCGTCCTCCAGGGACCTCGGGTGGCACCAAGGACTACTCAGCCATGCATTCCGAGAAGCGCAACTGGACGGGAGTTTGGCATGTTTTTGGGATTTCAGCTGCTTTGTTTGTAAATTGGAGCATCACTCCTGTAAGCTGTGGTCGAGTTAGAGAGACAGAAAGCGAGACGGGGAGAGATACTTCCTGGAGCCAGGCGATGAAAGCAAGATTGCTGAATCTGTTGATGATCACGAACATGACGTCGGCACCGTAAAGGAAACCGAAGTCTCAGAGGAGTTGGCCGTGAACGAGAAAACCGTGCATCTCGGTGAGAATAGTGCTGTCGCCCTGGCATCTTCTGTTGTAGAGTGCTTCTCCAGTCCGCATTAACATTCCTGCCGAACCTAAGGCGCCATTGCCACTACCATTGAAAGCATCATCACCACCACCATCACCGTCATAGTGCGCGTGTGTCGAAAGCCACCTGTAGCCGCAACCTTCTTGCTCTTGTCGCAATTGTCGTTGTTGTTGGTGGTTCCGGTGGCTGTTGTGGTGCTGGTCTTTCTGGTACGGTTGGTGTTGTTGGTGAATTGTTTGGGGGCTTGTGGTGTTGCTGTTGTTGTTACTCTTGCTGCTGCTGTTATTGTCGTTGCTTTGTTGTTGCTGATGCTGCTGCTGTTGTTGTCGTTGTTTTATGTTGCTGCTGCTGTTGTTGTTGTTGGTACAGACAAAAACAGCAGCCCGTACTTGTTGTTAATTAGAAGCAATTGGGAATGCTTCCGGCGACCACATAGGGTGCCTGTAGAGTTTTGGGAAGTTCAAGCCATGCCTGCCCCATGGTAGAAATGCGGTGTAGGCTGGGTGGTTGTTGTAAAAGGGGGGGGGGTCAAAACAACAGACGGGGCTCCAGTTTTTGCCTCTACTACAGGGGGTAGAGACAAAGGCACCAGCGAAATCAGGACTTTGTCTCTACCCCCTGTAGTAGAGGCAAAAACTGGAGCCCCGTCTGTTGTTTTGACCACCCCCCCTTTACAACAACCGCCCACATTACGCCACATTTCCACCACAGGTATAAGAATCTGCGATATCCAGAAGGGGTTCTGATGGGTGTTGGAAGGGCTTGTCTGGAATTTTGAGGGGTTTGCATTGGATACCCGTACACTCAAAACTATAGTTACCAGTTACTATACAGTAGTTTGTACAGGCCTCGCAAATGCATATTCTGCACGGCGGGGACCTGAAATACACACCAAATCCCTTGAAAATACACACCAAAATCATTGAAATACACACCAACTGCATTGAAATACACACCAAATCCACTGAAATACACACCAAATACACTCCAAATCCAGCGAAATACACATTAAATCCACTGAAGTACACACCAAATCCATTGAAATACACACGAAATCCATTGAAATACACACGAAATCCATTGAAATGCACATCAAATCCACTGAACTCCGCACCAAATCCATTGAAATACACGCGCAATCCACTGAAATACACGCGCAATCCACTGAAATACATGCGAAATCCACTGAAATACGCACGAAATCCACTGAAATACACACGAAATCCATTGAAATTCACACCAAATCCACTGAAGTACGTATACATCACAGGCATCCACAGGCACTCTGTTGTTGTTGTTGTTGTTGTTGTTGTAGCCGCTATGGATCACAGCAGGCTGTGTAGCATTGCTAACAAGGCTCTGGGTACCAACGCTAGAGGCTCGCAACGGCCCCCTTCTGCGAAGCTTAAGGGACTGTCCTCTTATTGAGCCATAGCTATTCCCGGAGCCGCGCGCCGCTGTGTTCTACCGGGTCCCAATTCCCGGGCCTCTGTCTGCAGTTATACAACCTTGGCAAGAGGTAAGCGGTAGGGTTCTCACCTTTCCGCGGGGTGAAGGGGGTCGGATCGAGTTCTCTCTCTTTCCGGCGAAACTAGCGGAAGGCGCGTCGACTGTGCCTCAGTACTTTTCTCCTGCCGATGCTTTTACATTTACAAAAGGACCTGCCGCACCAAGCCATTCAAGGGGCGGCCCCAGTCATGGGTTGGCCATCTTCTGCACCTGGGTATCCTGAAGGAAGCTTTCGAGTTGAGGCCTCGTTTCGCTCCTCTCTTCGACTTTCCAGCTACACGACAAGACACCCAGGTACAGCTCACGGTCTCTCCTGCGCAGTTTTGCTGGCGCTCTGGTTTTGCGCTTTAACTGGTACACCTCCGCAAGAAGGACACGGATCGTCTGGTATTCTCATGCAGTCTTCTTCGAGCACTAGTTTTTCCTTCAACGGCACAGTGGACTGCCACCAGCTGCTACGAAGCCAGTGCGATCGAGAGTTCTTCGTCACGGTTGAGTGTTTTCTGCGCTTCACTTCTGTTCAGCCGCCAGCGCCTGGGAGCAAGTCAGACTCAGGACAGGCTAGGCGCAACGTGGTGACTCACAACGCGTCAGCATCCTCCCAATGCTGGCCCCGACGGGCATTCCAGGGACTCCTCTTGCTATGGGGTGCCCTTGAGGGCCTAGAGGGGCTATCCTCTCTTGAGGGGGAGGCCTCTCGGGGGCCGCCGGGCCAGACTTGTCTACAAGACAAGGCGCAGATTGGGACACTGGGGACTCAGGTTCAGCAGAGTTGGCCAACGTCTTCAGTTCCAGCACGGTGTCTACCTGGCACGGCTCCACGTCACATCTGGGTACAGTCGTTAAGCGGACGCGCTTGCTGTGCTATGGGTGTCGGGCTACGGCTACGGCCCTCCCAGGTGTGTTCGTTACTGTCCTGTTACCGACGGGGTCAGGCAGTGCTAGGAGTGACGGCCCACGTGTTTTTGCTTGACGACGAATTATCCTTACGGCCCATCGCTGGTAGTCGGGAGTTACCTAGTGTGGGACGCCACTAGACGGGAACTCTGGGAGACGGCTCTTCTGAGTACGACCCAACGGCTGCCAGTTCGTGAGTATTGGACGCAATGACTCACACTGAGGGTGACGGAGGCTACATGACGACGACTTTGTGATTCGGGCTGTCACGTTAGGAGTTTCGGGCATCGCTCGCGTAAAAAACGGGCAACGCCTTTGTAACTGAAGTCAACTTCTTGTGGCCTATCCCCTAGAGGCTGGTGCCCAAGAGCTGTTGCTGCTGTGTACAGTCTGCAGCGCTGCTCTTCTTGACTTAGGCCCTTTCTCTTTTAACGTTTGTAGCATCGGCTCCTCTTTTTCCTTCACTGAGGATCCTATAGGGGTTGCGCGGTCTTCTCTGTTGGTTTTGTTAGGTCTGTTCGTTTTGGCTTGTTTTACGCGAGGCCTCGGGGCCTGACTTCGGTCGTAGTTCTCAGAAGCGGATGAAGGAGGTACCTGCGATTCTCGCATGGGCAGTCCCCTCGCGCAAAGCGCCAGTCTGTTTCTTTTTCTTTACAAGGCCGCCGGGCGAAGACCGCGTAACCTCTATAAGAATGTCGGCAGGTCAGATTCTAAGGGAGTGGTGCTGCCTTATGGCTCACCTCGGTGACGCTGGCTCACGGCACACTCGGGGATGGCACGCTTCCGAAGTTTCTGCTCGCCCGCAATGAGCAGAGCCCGCTCGCTCAGCGTCCAATAAAATTGTTGTTGTTGGGGGGGGGGTAAAACAACATGACGGGGCTCCTGTTTTTTTCTCTACCTAATGTACAGACAAAACGCAGATATATGGGTTGACGGGGCTGCAGTTTTTGTTTGTACCTTGTTGTTGTTGTTGTTGCTGTTGTTGTTGTTGTTGTTGTTGTTGTTGTTGTTGTTGTTGTTGTTGTTGTTGTTGTTGTTGTTGTTGTTGTTGTTGTTGTTGTTGTTGTTGTTGTTGTTGTTGTTGTTGTTTGTTGTTTGTTGTTGTTGTGGTTGTTGTTGTTGTTGTTGTTGTTGTTGTTGTTGTTGTTGTATGTGTTTGTTGTTGTGTGTTGTTGTGGTGGTTGTTGTTGTGGTTGTTGTTGTTGTTGTGTTGGTTGTTGTTGTCGTTGTTGTTGTTGTTGTTGTTGTTGTGGTTGTTGTTGTTGTTGTTGTTGTTGTTGTTGTTGTTGTTGTTGTTGTTGTTGTTGTTGTTGTTGTTGTTGTTGTTGTTGTTGTTGTTGTTGTTGTTGTTGTTGTTGTTGTTGTTGTTGTTGTTGTTGTTGGTTGTTGTTGTTGGTTGTTGTTGTTGGTTGTTGGTTGTTGTTTGTTATGTTCATTTCATTTGTATTCGCAGTTGTTGTTGTATCTGATGATGTTGGTGTTGTTGTTGTGGTGATGGTTGTGGTTGTGGCTGCTGTTGCTGGTGCTTTGGTTGCTGTTGTTGTGGTTGTTGTTGTTGTTGTTGTTGTTGGCAGCACGTGCGTCTGCCTTGCTGAAACTCGAGTTTTGGCACGGTCCTCGCCCGGAATTGAGTTTGCGTTTTGGTTTCGCATCGGGTTTTTGCGGTGTTTCCTAACATAAATGCGCCACCTGGCAGGCTGCACTGTACAAAAAATCTCTGAGCTGTCCTTTTCGCATTTGTTTCGGTGTTTTCGACGTGCATCGGTTTTTGTCTGCGTTTTAGCCGACTCCCGCTTTTTGCACGTGCCAGCTTGAACTTCTTCCATTTGTACTTCAGCTCCGTGCAGGGGCGGATCGTGTCTTGTGTTTTTCTTCTTGACCTTGTTCTGGTATGTTCTGGTGCGGTACATTGGTGGGGAGGGGAGGGGGGATGGGGGGGGTGATGACGTCCATGCGAATGCGGCTTCAGGGTTGTGTTTCTCTTGTTGTTTTGTGCTTTGTGCATTGGTGGGGACGGTGGGGGTCGGGGCATTTCAAGTTTCAGGCCTACCCTCGACTTTTCGCACATGCCAGCTTGGACTTCCATGTGTATGTATTTGACCTCCGTACAGGGCTGGGGAGGGGGGGGGATGGGGGGTTGGCTGATGACGTCCATGCGAATGCAGCTTATATGTTCTGTTTCTTTTTCTGCTCTGTGCATTGGTGGGGAGAAGGGGATGGGGGGGATGTTGATGATGTTGATGTTGATGTTGATTGCATATGCGGAAGATAAACACTGTCGATGACGATACTTACGCTGATAACAATGACAAAGGTGCTCCCTGTTGCCCTTGTTGTTACCTGACTTTTGAAACGTCAACCATGCGCAAGCACTCGTGCTTTCTAGGCGTTCCAAGAAATCTTCGCAACGGACCCCCGAAGCCATCAAACGTAAAAGACGACAAGCATGGTATTTTCCACGATTTCGCAAAACAAAACGCAACCACAAAACAAGACAAACTACTATGGACAAAAAATCCGAAACATCGTATTCTTCACGAAAACCTTAACAACTTTAGGTTTTTTTTCAAGCGTTTGACCAAAAAACTTCCAAATAATAAACGACACACCCTGCGCGGCGGCAGAC